TTTTAAAATATTTCCATGCTGCTTCTGATATCTTCTGTTCTATTTCTTTAAAGTTTTTACTTTCTCCTGTGTTTTAGAAGACCTATTTAAAATCTGAATAGCAGTTATTTTTATTTATTATTATTATCACTTGTGAGTGTGTGTGTGTGTGTGTGTGTGTGTGTGTGTGTGTTGCTGAGAATTGAACCCGGTAAGTGCTCTACTATGGAGCTATATCCCCAGCCCCCCAGTGGTTACTTTTAAATATTGCAAACAGTGTCCTTTAACTTGCCTCTCCCTGAGAAACTTCAGACTCTCATTCCACAGCCTCCTTTGAGGGGTTCTATCCAGATGTTTCACCTTGCCTGGAGCCATATGACCATGTGATCTGTAGTAAAAATGGAACTGTTCATTGCAAGTCTTCCAACTTCCCTGTATCCATGTCCTTTGCTAAAAAATTTTGTTGTTCCCCTGCCCACTGTCAACTCAGAAAGAGGAAGAATATACCTCCTACTATATGGGCAGAAAGTAGAGTAGGCATAATCGACAAGATACTGGTTTTGAGCCTAGGCCTGAAGAGGTATTATGTGTTGCCACTTGCCACTATCATGGCCATGAGAAGAACATGCCTGAGTTAGCCCACTGATGAAAACAAAGTGCAAGATTCAAGGAAAGGTCCAGGTTGGATCCCAGCCAAGATCAGCCCACCTCCAACCAATCCATGCACAGGTAAGTGAAATAAATGCTTATATTTGTATGCTACTAAGACTTGGGAGTTTTCTTTGTACAGCAATAGCTGCCTAGCACAAACCTGATTATACAGGCCACAGCTGACTGCGTCACAAACTAGTAGCTTATCCACAGACAGGCAAGCATGTAGCCAGAGACTTAGGAGATTGCTGAAGGTGAGAGCCCTGCTGAACAGAGGTACCCTGTCTGCATGATCATGAGTACGTGTGGATCATCCTGCCAAACGTAATTAATTTTTTCTCTCATTACTTGTTCTCAAACAGACCCTATTATGGTCTAACTAACTAAATGGATCTTCACTCATGGGAAATATGTCTGAGAGACAACCTGAGAGAGACAGAGAAGAGGGAGTCCCCCAAACTGAACAATGTATGAAGGAAGGCAGTGAGAAGAAGCCACGAGGCAACAGAAACCACAAATGATCAGAAGGTGCAGCAAGAGAATTGAGTAGAGAGGTGCCATTCGGGAAGAGTGCGGGAGGAAGGAGCCTGAGGACCGGGAGGCAGAGATGGAGAATCTGGGTCTGGGGCAGCAGGTGGTAGTAATGATGCTGAAGGTAGAGCGGGGTCACCAGAACTAATGTTGAACTACTAGAGCAACTGTCCTGTCCTGAATAGTGGGCTTTCCCAATATAGACCTGAAAAGGGGATTCAGCCTTTGGACCTGATGGACTAAGAGTGGGCCATGAACAGGCAACTTATTTGCAATCAACACACAAGTTGATCACAATGAGTCTGAGAGAGGTACTTTTTTAATGTTTTTTTTTTGAGTTGATGATTGAAGTAGGACCACTTAACCACTGAGCTTTTTGTTTTTCCCCCAGAACTTTAAAAAAAAAGTTTTTTGAGATCAAGGTCTTCTAAAGTTGCTTAAAGCCTCACTAAGTTGCTGAGATCTCAAACTTGCAATCCTCCTGTCTCAGCCTCCTTCCCAAGTTGCTGGGATTTCAGTGCATCACCATACCTGGCAAGATGGTAGGACAAGGGTCCTTAAAGTCAGGGTCTCATACATATTAGGCAAGCCCTCTACCATCGAGCCATATCCCCAGCCCAAGTTGGTACTTCTTTTGAGGACAAGTAATGAGAGAAAAAAAATTAATTTTGTTTAGCAGGATGGTCCACACGTACTCATTGTATTATTTTTATGCAACTCTGGATGGATGAAATAACATGAATAATGTTTCAAGACATTATAGGAGGTCTGAAATTTTTTCTTCAAAACAAGGAGAGAGCACATCATCCCAAAGACTAAAAGGAAGAGACAGATCTCTGAAAAAATATTTACTGTGGCATTTGGAAAATTTTCAGGAAGGTTTTCAGTGACATCATTAGGATTCTTCCAGTAAGAGCCAGAAAGAATGACTAAGATGAAAAGGTGCTACTAAACTAGATGTGGTGGTGCACACTTGTAGTCCAGCTACTTGGGAAGCTGAGGCAGGAGATTTACAAATTTGAGGCCAGCCTCAACAATTTAGCATGACCCTGTCTCAATATAAAAAA